TCCAGCACCCCACCCAGCACTCTTCATTCTTCTTGTTCTAATCTAATCTGGATGAGTCTTTCTCCATTTTTTATAACCATCATAATATTGAAGAGTCCTGGCCAACAGTTTTGTAGAATGTCTCTCTCTTTGGGTTTGTCTGATGTTTTATGGTAAGAATTGGCTTATGCTTTTGGGCAGGAATACCCCTGAACAAACATCACCTCCAAACACAATGATGTTGTGATGTTGTGCTTCTCAACATATCGTTAATGGGTATGTGACATCTATGTCTCATAGTTGACCTAACTTTTGGTCACTTAGCTAAGGTGGTGTCTCCCAATTCTTTTTCACTTTAAAGTTATTATTTTYCCAATTGGAATTAATAGGTATCTTGAGGGGAGATACTTTAAGATTTTGCAAATATCTTATTTCTCATAATACTTTTCCCCAAAATTTTAGGTTATCTGAATGATTCTTTTTTTTTTTTAAATATGTTTTAGTTGTTGATGGACCTTTATTTTGTTTATTTGTATGTGGTGCTGAGAATCGAACTCAGTGCCTCACACATGCTAAGCAACATTGAGCCACAACCTCAGCCCCTGAATGATTCTTTTCTGCACTAGTTATTACTTGATGTTTGCCCAAATGCTGATTTAATTTATTTCTATCATTTCTTTCATATTATTAGAATCTACTGTAAGAAATAACTATTAATATAATAACCATTTATTCAGTTATTATATCAATATGTGCTCATGCATTTTTACTTTATTCAGTGGATTATAATGCATTATTATAATTACTTTATTGTTCAAATCATTCCAAATCCATATATATGTATATATATATATATATATATATTAGTTTTTATTCTAATTTGTTATATATGACAGCAGAATGCATTACAATTCATATAGAGCACAATTTTTCATATTTCTGGTTATATACAAGGCATATTCACACCATTCATGTCTTCATATATGTACTTAGGGTAATAATGTCCATCTCATTCCAACATATTTTTTTACCCCCATGTCCCCTCCCTTCCCCTCCCACCCCTTTGCCCTATCTAGTGTTCGTCTAATCCTTCCATGTTCCCTATCCCAACCCCATTATGAATCAACCTCCTTATATCAGAGAAAACCTTTGTTTTTGGGGGATTGGCAAACTTCATGTAATGTTATATTCTCCAATTCCATCCATTTACCTGAAAATGCCATGATTTTATTCTCTTTTATTGCTGAGTAAAACAGTCCACTGTGTATATATACCACATTTTCTTTATCCTTTCATGTACTGAAGGGCATCTAGGTTGGTTCCACAGTTTAGCTGTTGTGAATTGTGCTGCTATAAACATTGATATGGCTGTGTCCCTATAGTATGCTGTTTTTAAGTCCTTTGGGTATAGACCAAGGAGTGGGATAGCTGGGTCAAATAGTGGTTTCATTCCTAGTTTTCCAAGGACTCTCCATACTGCTTTCCATATTGGCTGCACCAATTTGCGGTCCCACCACCAATGTATGAGTGTGCCTTTTCCCTCACATCCTCACCAACACTTATTGTAGTTTGTATTCTTAATGGCTGCCATTCTGACTGAAGTGAGATAAAATCTTAGATAGTTTTGGTTTGCATTTCTATAATTGCTAGAGATGTTGAACATTTTTTCATATATTTGTTGATTGATTGTATATCATCTTCTGAGAGGTGCCTGTTCAGTTCCTTGGCCCATTTATTGATTGGGCTATTTATCTTTTTGATGGTTAGCTTTTTTAGTCCTTTGTATACGCTACAGATTAGTGCTGTATCTGATGTGGGAGTGGTAAAAATTTGCTCCCAAGATGTAGACTCTCATCCCAGTGTGAGACCACATCTCAAGATGTGGTCCTGGGGATTGAACTCAGGGCCTTGCACATGCTAGGCAAGCACTCCATCATTGAGCTATATCCCAGTTCTTTT